CTGATCTGTTTCCCAACTGAGGAGGAGATAACAAATGGCAGGGGTTTCTGCCTACAAGCCATCATGACACAGGACCCAACTCATCCTTTTTAATGGCAATAAATAAATGACGGAAGTTTTAGCCACCAGATTAGTGAATTCATGGTTAAGCCTCAGGCTTTTATCTCCCTGACCCCTGTTTGAACTCAACCTTGGTTCCTAAGTGCAGGGCAGACAAAGTGGGGTGGGAGGACGGTTTCTTATCGACATGAACACCCCTTCCAGCTCAACATAAAAGAAATATGATGCCACGTGTGTGCCTGTGACTTGGAGCAGAAGGATTTGTTGGGACAAAGTGAGAATAGAGTTAAATACCAGCTATTATTTCTGGATGTGTATCCCCATAGCTTAAGAGTTTAATAGAGAACATATTAACAAATTCCACTAGCACTTATAGGAGGAGGCGATTATCAGTTGTGTGCACACTGCTGGAGGCAGAAGTTTAAAAAGACAAACTGAGGATGTTGGAAATGAGGAAGCCCAATGCTGACACTAGCCTGGAGTAATACGTATTGAGCCATGGATACACTAGTCACTTTATGTGTATTACTTCATTGAATCCTCACAACAATTTTATGAATCAGGTACTCTTGTTTTCTAATTTTATAGATGAGGAAGCTGTGATTTAGAGAGGTTACATAACTTATCTAAGGTTACATGAGTGGCAAATGAAGCCAGGATCAAAATCCTCATCTAACTCTATATCACTTTCATGAAAAAAGTGCTTACTGTGTGAGGTTCTCTAGTTTAATAGATGGTGACCCCATTTCCCAGTCAAGATTCCATATGCACATTCTGGCAATTCCAAACGTATTCATCAGAACTGTGGGTCTGACTGTTTGACATTAAGATCATATTATCTTTATGCAGTCCATTTTCTTATCTGAAAAATGAGCACCATTATAATGATCTTCAATGTCTCTGGGTCTGACAGTTTTCAAAATCTTTTGGAGAATAAATATCTATATGGAAACTAGGTTTGGATGCCTTATTGGTGATAATTGTTCATCATGCCTTCCAGCAAGATTCCCAAGTACTTTGTCTAAGCCAAGCTCCCAAAACTGCCAGTAACATGTTGAGTTCTAGAGTAGTTCTATCCTAATTAGGTACACAGTACTATTCTAAATAGGAACAAGGCAAAGGGTGGATGTTGTTTCATAGTGGTTGCTAAGGTGGATGATCAAGAAACATTGATCACATGGGATAGTGTACGTATTTGATGCCACAGATATGCTTTCTGGTGTAATAGTTAAGAGCAAGTAGGCATTTTAGGCATTTGTATGTTTGTTTTATTTTATGCCAAGGAAAAGCTCGGATAACCTGGATATTGGAAGACCTAATCTCATGTCCCCAGCTACTTTCCTACAAACCAATCTACCTGCTCCATTAAGACAGACCTCAGGGTCTAGGCTGTGGTTGTATGGTTATTTGAATAAGGCCAATGGAGGTATGATTCACCTAAGCAGCCTACTACAAGTTAATAAAGAGTGGCCTTTAGCTACAAAGACCCAAGTCTTAGGGAGTCTTTGAAAGAAGAAACCATGAAATACCTGGGTATGTGACTTAGGAATTGTAACATACCCAGGTATTTCATTGCTCAATGGACAAACCTTGTGTCCCAGCTTCTGTTTACTCCCATTCCCTTTATCCCAACAAAACTACCCCTAACCATGCCTCCCATTTTAGCTTCCTAGGTTGCTGTTTTCTCTCTCTCTTTCCTTAAGGTTCATATCTGACTCTCCTCTGAAGTATGCGTTAAGACCTACATCAACCCTTTGTCTGACTGATTCTGTCGACTAGCAGAAAAGATGCTCTGACAGGAAATACTCGGGATTGAAGTTAACTGCACTTCAGCTTCGATCCTAAAATCCTAACTCAGTAGCATTTGTCTTTGACTCCTTTGCCAAGTTTGCTAGCTGCTTAAACATCTCAATTCCCCCATCTCCCAAAGTCACAAAAAAAAAAACGGAACTTACATTTATAGTATCCAATGACACATTTAAATGGGTTTGTAGTTGCTGCCCATTAAATGTGAATTCCTTGCTTTTTACATGCACACCTTGTTTTCTTGCACCTCACCTTATTGTGCTTTGCAGATATAACATGTTTTTTACAAACTGAAGGCTTGTGGCAGCCCTGCATTGAGCAAGTCCATTAGTGCCATTTTTCCAAAAGCATGTGCTCATTCTGTGCCTTAGTGTCAGCATTTTTTAACAATAAATTATTTTTTAATCAAGGTGTGTACTTTATATATATATATATTTGATTATTTTCCTTTTATTATTTTTTTAAATAGAGACAGGGTTTCTTTCACCATCTTGGCCAGACTGGTCTGAATAGCCTGACCTCAGGTGATATACACAGCTCAGGCTCAGCTACTTTTTTTAGATATAATGCTGTTGCACACTTAATCGACTACAGTATAAAAGAAACGTAGCTTTTCTATGTATTGGAGACCAAATCATTTGTGTGACTCTCTTTATTGCAATATTTGCTTTATTGCAGTGGTCTCTGCCTGTCCATACAGAGCTTACAGATGCACCTTCTTTTGCTCTCCACTTCCTCTATGAAAGAAATGCAGAATATTTATCTACTATGCTACATACTATAGGAATCAGACACCATAAACACTTTGCTAATCAACAGGATGAAAGAATTAGCTAATAAATCCCTTCACAGATACCTGCAAAGTTCTGGCCAATATGTGACCTCCTTAGGAGGCAGGGCATAAAACTGAAGTGTCTTTTACTTGGGATAAGTTTCTTCACTCTTCTTCCTGTAGTAATATGATTAATTAGCATGGAAACTTCTTTTAAAAAGCTTCCACACACACTGATGAGAAAAATAAGTTCACTAGGAATAAAGCAGGGCCCAGAAGCATGAGAGTATTTATTTGAATGGTTTCATTCCCCACCTCAGGGGGGTATCTAACATGAAGAATTGGTCTAGGTAAGTAACCTAAGGGTTGAAGTGAGTTCAAAAGAGCTCCACCAGGCTGGAAACACAAACCCAAGCAGTGAACATCACCTAGAGAAGCTGAAAGCACTTCAGATCTGGCTCTTTTTCTGGACTTTAGAAGAACAAAGGTCATGAAAATTTATTATTGGCAAGACTATAAATGTCTAATAAAAATAACTTGATTATGAGCTTTTTTTTTTAATTTCAGGTTTTACACAAATGCCTAAGCAGAGAGTTTTAGATTTTTTCTTACTTTGAACATACTCCCCCATTTTCCTGGCAATATATCTTCATGTTTCTTCAAAAAGCTATTCAAGAGTATTTTAAGTAACAGTTTTAAACCTCCCCTCTGTTTAAAAAAAAGTTCATAAAATTGCTGAAGAGAAATGAGATTGCTTTCTGGCTCCTGTAAAAATTGGGGATAATGTTTAACAACAGAAACCAAATGGGAATGTTCAGTTTAAATTCTGCACAGCCATGGCAACAACCAAATTCCCAAGAATTTCTTCCTCATTGTCCCAGTGAGGCAGCAGCAGGTTCAGCTATTGGATGGGCTTTTGGGAACCCCCTGGTAATTTACTGCTAGCAAAGAGCTATAGATGGAGTGACAGCTGCCCTTGCCAATGAGGTCACACAGCACAGGGCAGCTTTCCTACCCCTGACTGGGCCTCACCCTTGTGGACAGGAGTGGCATTACAGAACTTGCAAGGTCTCCAAATAGCCCTTCTCCTCCAGGTCACACTGTCTCCTTTTTTGCTCGTGCCAAAGTCCTTCCCCTGTCTATGCAACGGAAGTAAAATTTATACTCGGGCAGCTTTAAAATGCTGACATTCCATGTTTACAGAGATTGTTTACTCAGAAAATTAATCAGTTACAGTTTTAAATTTTAATTAAAGAATGTTTTCCGGTATTATTGCAAAACAGACAAAAGCCCATAAAATGTATGTTTGACTGCTGTTTGTGTGTTGTCTTTGGATCAAGGCACAGTCTTGAGATCAATCATGCACTATATTTTTGTGAACTTTTCTTTTAACAGAACAACCTTTCACATAAATTTGGTTCCTTAAAAAATATCCGTCAAAATAAAAGTCATTCTGAGAAACTCTGTGGAATTTCCTCTTCCTTTCTAATTCGCAACAAACTATTTTGTACTTGTTCTGTAAATAAAAATATGGGACGGAAGTAAGCAGACATTCATTTGTGCAATAGGCTGCTTTTTGCAATGAACCAGAATTAACTTCATAGGAAGTTAGCCATTCCACTCACATATTGGTCAAGAATTATTGGTTCAGTGAACACTGGCATGGTGCAAATATTTTGGTTCCAAGATGTTGATGTAGGAGAAGCATATTCTTAAGCTTTCTCTTATATATTTTCATTTTATTTCTTCTTTACCTTGCTTTATTTATCTGATTATAAAAAGAAATATGTGATTCTGATACAAACAAGGAGAAAACTATGACTTAAGAGTTTTAATAACCTCTCTCAATATAATTAACACATCTCTCTGTTTTTGTCAATGCATCTACTAAAATGATTATGTATTTATTTGCACAAAGCCCTTATAAATGCCAAATAGCTCATCAAATGTGCATAATCTTTGCCCACTGAGGCTCAAAATCTAGGGCAAAAACTGATAATAGTTACTATTATATCTCAAATTTAAAAAATATATACTAGCAAATAAAATTTGCAAAATCTTGAAGCTAAATAGATTTATCACAGAATAGTTACCAGTATAGAAAGTATAATATTACATGTTATTATAGTTTATATATTGAATAATGGCTCTATTTTTAATTTATTTTTCTTCTTATTATTATTTTTGGTGGGATTCGTGTGACTTTTAATTTCTTATTTTACTCATGTCTTACAGTAAGCGTGAGGAGTAAAGACAGGGATGGGTAAAAGCAAGGAAGAAGAGAAAAGTATCTTTCAAGTTCCTTGAAGTATTGAAGCATGTGCTAGGATAAGAAAGTTCAATAAAAGCATCATGTACTTACCACCAGAGCTCTTAAAGGAGATGTGGAACAGAGACGGGGCAACCCTTCTGTTCTGGCAGAAGTGACTGCTGGACAGAGAACAAATCCTGCATCAGCCTTGGCACACGTGAAAGACTGGGCAATGCAGATGCTACCCAGTTGGGCAGATGAAGAACTGACTGTCCAGAATCTACTTCTAGCAAGTGAGTAGGCACATGCACACACCTCCTCTGGTCTGAGTGTCTCTTCCTCTCCGGCAGGACCCTACCAACTGTGCAGCCGTGGGGTAAATGTTGGGGAAGTCCTTTAGAAAAGAAAAAGATTTCTTTTTAAAAGAAAAAGAAATCTTTCTGCTGGTGATGTTAATCGACCAGAAGTGGTTTTTTTTTTTTTTTTTTTTTTTTTTTTTTTTTTTTTTTTTGAGACGGAGTCTTGCTGTGTCTGCAGGCTGGAGTGCAGTGGCACGCAATCTTGGCTCACTGCAACCTCTGCCTCCTCGGTTCAAGCGATTCTTCGCCTCAGCCTCTGGAGTAGCTGGGACCACAGGTGCATGCCACCACGCCTGGCTAATTTTTTTGTATTTTTAGTAAAAACGGGGTTTCACCGTGTTGGCCAGGAAGGTCTCCAAATCTTGCCTCGTGATCTGCCCGCCTCGGCCTCCCAAAGTGCTGGGATTACAGGCGTGAGCCACTGCGCCTGGCCAGAAGTGGTTTCTTTTACTTTGGGGCACTAGCATTGTGTTCTGGTGACATGATATCCTACACTTAGTACTCATAAAAGGGATAGGGGAGTGAAAGCAAGGCCTCTTTAGGACCTAGGCTAGCGGGAAAAGGGAATATGTGGATTCTAAGGGTAAGGGCATGAAAAAGCGAATTCTATATCACCACAAATGAACTGACGCGTAAATGACACCTGGGCCTTTTCCACTCATAGAAACACTCACTTCTAGCTTATACGACTAAATCTAAGTTCAGCTTAATCACTGTTTGGAATAACTATTTACTGTGCTTCCAAAGTAAAGGTGAAAGGCTACATCCTTAATAGTTCTTCCCCCAATTAAATGGATTTGTATAAGCTGAAAGCCTGAAGTCTAGGGATTCTTTTCGTTATTTTTATTTGTTGGGGGAAACACTTAAACTTCGTCACTGCCATTTTTTTAACCTACAGGACTGAAGGAATATGAAATGGTCACGGATAAGTCCTTACACGAATCACAGACATGGTCAACAAGCATGTAATTTTACCCACTGAGGAAAGAGCGCACGAAGGCCAGCTGGTCCAGCAGCGACTGCCCCTTCTTCTCCAGCTCCAGGCGTGCCAGCGTGGCGACGTCCACGTCGCGCGGCTGTGCCTTCAGGGCGTGCTCGGCACCCTAGCGTCCGCGGCGGGCCTCCGCACAGCGCGCCCGCAGCCGCCTCACCCTCAGCCAGCCGGTCGCCCCCAGCAGGGCCTGCGCGCGCGCCGAGTTCGCTTCCTCCAGCCGCGAGATGAGCTCGCCGAGGCACGGGCTAGGCGTGGCGACGGCTCCGCGCGGCGCTGCCTCAGCGTGGCCCACTCGGCCTCCAGCGCGCAGTTCTGCGTCTCCAGCTGTTCTCGATGTTCTTGATGAACACGACGACGCGGTCGTTGAGGCCCTGCAGCTGCTCCTCATTAGTGCGGATGATCTTGTACTCGTTGGTGTGCGCCGTCGCCCTGGCTCAGTGCCAGCCGTTAGGACGCCGGCGGCAGGGGATAGGCCAGGCGGAGGCCGAGCCACGAGGCTGAGGAGCAGGCGGTGGAGGAGGCCACATTGTAGCGGGACAGCAACTGCGAGTGGAAGCCACCCGCGCGGCCGGCCCCGGAGACGCGAGCAGACAGGCGGGAGTCGTCCCCGAACACCTTGAGGTAGGAGTGGGAGGGGCACGTGTAGTGCTCCGAGCAGAAGCTCATGGTGCAGGGATGCAGGGAGCGGGGGCAGGGGGTTCGGCTTCGGCTGGAGCTACAGAAAAAAGGGGAGGTGTGGCAGGTAGGGCCATATTTTCTTTTTTATTGTTGTTTTGTTGTTGTTGTTTGAGACGGAGGTCTCTCTTTGTTGCCCAGGCTGCAGTACAGAGGCATGAAAATAGCTCCCTGAAGCCTTAAACTCCTGGGCTCAGGGAATCCTCCTGCCTCCGCCTCCCAAGTAGCTAGAGCTGTAGGTTTGTCACCATACGTGCATAATTAAAACAAAAAAAAATTTTTTTTTTTTTTGTAGAGAGGTGTCACTATGTTGCCCAGGCTGGTCTTGACCTACTGGCCTCAAGGGATCCTCCCTCCTCAGGCAACCAAAGCAGTGGGATTACAAGCATGAATCCCTTTTAAAAGATGTAATAGTGTATCCTAGAGCTCTTCCAGTATCAGTTCACATCGCACGACCTCATTCCTTTTTAATACAACCTACAATACTATTGGATGAGTCCTCTAGTCATGTCTCTACCTTTTGAAAAATAAATCTTTTCACATTGGCTGCTGAATCATTTGGGCATGACACTGGCAGCCTTTCATAGTCTCCTTGATATCTGGTATAAAAATATGTTCTAACACCATCTTGTATATTTCCTACTCCAGTCATGTGATCAACCACTTCTCCAAGATGAGCTGGTTCCTTTTTGTAGGGAATTGTACTTAGAGACTGCAATCTGGGAGGTAGGAGTGCTCATTGTTACTGGGTTGTTCATTGTTTCTTTTTAGTGCAAAAACAAAGTAAATGTTTCGTTTATAAGATAAAATACATTCAGAGTTCATATTAATACTTCCTATTCAAGTTCAGGATTATGAGATTTTCAGTAAACCTCATGTACTCTGTTTCACACTGAGACTTCTGATTTTCAAGATCAATGAGGTTGACAGGATTAGAATATCACTTACTTGTTCTCTTTATTCCACATTACCCCTAGATCTGTCTCAAAATAGCAATACTAACATGACCACCACCATCTTTTGTAACACAGTCCTTTTTTTCTTTAAGTTATTGTCCAGAGGTGGGTACAAATATTTCATTTTACCAAAAATACAGTCTTTCTGGATTACTACATAATCTGGAAATATGTATTAAGTTTCTTGTAAAACAAAAAACCCCTCCATATCCATTAATCCAGGTATTATACTTCTAAAACTTTGTGTCAACAATAAACAAACTGGATAAAACATTATTTTTCAACAAATTTCCTATTTATTAGAGAAAAAAATAGAAGTAGCCTTCTGTCCAAAAATATGAAAGTAGTTAATTGTGTTGATTTATCCCTTAGAATATTATACATGTGTTACAAATAAGTAAGAATAAATAACCAATAGAACCAAATGATTTCAGCATTTTTGTAGAAGAAGAAGAAAGGCAGTAGAAGACAGATGTAAAGATTTGAAAATCCCCACATTACCACTGGAGAGCACTACAGAGCAATCTAAGAATGTTAGATCAAGCCAGGTAGGGACAGGGATAGGGATTGGGGAATCAGGGGAGCTGTGGCTTCCCATTCAAGCATACTAGGGTAAGGTCTGAGCCAGCTGAAGATGTCTGAACTATAAAATATTTTTCTTTTTAAATTTTAAACTCTGTATTGAGATGTAATTTCAAATGCACAGAAAAATTACAAGAATTAATACAAAGAACACCCAAGCCTGATGCAGTGGCTCACGCCTATAATCCCAGAATTCTGGGAGGCCAGAGCCAGTGGATCACCTTAGGTCAGGAGTTTGAGACGACACTGACAAACCTTTTTCCATGATTAGAAGCTTCCTCAGGCCTTCCCCAATGCAGAAGATGCTATGCTTCCTGTACAGCCTGCAGAACCAAGAGTCAATTAAGCCTCTTTTATTTATAAATTACCAAGTCTCAGGTATTCCTTGGTAGCAATGTGAGAACAAACTGATACAAAAAAATAGTACTAGGAGTAAGTAGGATATTGATATAAAGATACCTGAAAATGTAGAAGCAGTTTTGGAATTGGGTAAAAGGGAGAGGCAGAAAAGAGTATGAAGATCTCAGAAGGAGACAGGAAGATGAAAGAAAGTTTAGAACTTCTTAGAGACTGGATACATTGTTCTGACCAAAATGCTGATAGAAATGTGCACAGTGAAGTCCAGGCTGAGGAGAGCTCATATGGAAATAAAGAGTTTATTTGGAACTAGAACAATGGTCACTTTTGTTAGGCCTAAGCAAAGAACTTGGCTGTATTGTGTTCCTGCCCTAGGGATATGTAGAACTTTAAACTTGAGAATGATGATTTAGGGTATCTGGCAGTAGGAATTTCTAAGCAGAAACATGTTCAAGATTGGTCATGAATGGTTTAGCACCATGCCCTTGGTGCTGTTCTCATGATAGTGAGTGACTTCTCATGGTATCTGGTTATTTGAAAGTACTTAATATTCCCCTCCTTGTTCTCTTTTGCTCTTGCTCCTGCCATGTGGGATGTCTTGCATGCCCTTAACTTTCTGTCATGAAACCACTACGCATTCTGTGCAGGCTGCAGAACCATGAGCCAATTAAACATCTTTTATTCATATATTAACTTGTCTAAGGTATTTATTTGTAGCAATGTGAGACCATAGTATTCCACAGTGTTACTTGTTCCCATCTTTATGTCCATGTGTACTTAATGTTTAGTTTTCACTTATAAGTGAGAACATGCAGTATTTGGTTTTCTGTTTCTATATTCATTCTTTTAGGATTATGGCCTCCAACCACATCCATGTTGATGCCAAAGCTATATTTTGTTCCTTTTTGTGGCTGTGTAGTTGTGTATGCACCATGCTCTTTATCCAATTCACCATTAATGGGCCTCTAGGTTGACTCCATGTCTTAGCTATTATGAATGGCATTTCAATTAATGTATCTTTTTGATAGAACAATGTTTTCTTTTGTATGTATACCTAGCCATGGGATTGCTGGATTAAATGCTGTTTTAAGTTTTTTGAGAAATCTCCAAACCGCTCTGCACCACGACAACTAATTTACCTTCCCACCAACAGTGCATAGGCATTCACTTTTTTCTGTAGCCTTTGCCGGCATTTGTTATTATTGACTTTTTAATGATAGCCATTCTGACCATACCAATAACAAGTCATAAAATTGAATTGGTAATAAAAAACCTGTCAACCAAAAGAAGCCCTGGGCTAGATGGTTCACCGCTGAATTCTATCAAATGAACAAAGAACTGGTACCAATCCTACTGAAACTATTCCAAAAATTGAGGAGAAGAGACGCCTCCCTAACTCATTCTATAAAGCCAGCATCAGCCTGACACCAAAATCAGAAATAGACACATACAAAAAAGAAAGCTAATAGCTAATAGCCCTGATGAACAATTCTAAACAAAATTCTAGAAAACTGAATCCAGAAGTACATAGAAAAGTTCATATACCATAATCAAGTATTATTCCTAGGCTGCAAGGCTGTTTCAACATATGCAAACCAGGAAATGTGATTTTCCACATAAAGGGAATTAAAAACAAAAACTATATAATCATCCCAGTGGGCATGGAAAAAGGTTTTGGAACAATCTAGTATCCCTTTATGACGCAAAGTTTTCAACAGACTGGGCATCGAAGGAACATACCTCAAAATGTTAAGAGCCATCTATTACAAACCCAAGGCTAACATCTTATGGAATGGCCAAAGATGGAGCCATTCCCCTTGAGAACTTAAATAAGATGAGAATGCCCACTCTCATCACCCCCATTCAGTATAGTGCTTGAAGTCCTAGCTAGAGCAGTCAGTCAAGAGAAATTAAAAAAAAAAAAATCCAAATAGAAAAGAAGAAGTAAAATTATCTTTCTTTGTTGACAATATGATTCTATACCTAGAAAATCCTAAGGACTCAGCCAAAGGGCCCCTAGGACCGATAAACAATGTCAGTAAAGTTTTAAGATACAAATTCATTGAACAAAAATCAGCATTTCTATACATCAGTAATATTCAAGCTGAGAGTCAAATCAAGAACCTAATCTCATTTACAATAGCCACAAAAAATGGAAATACCCAGGAATACAGCTAACTAATTAGGTAAAGGATCTCTTCAAGGAGAAGCATAAAATACTGCAAAAAGAAATCAGAGACAACACAAATAAATGGAAAAATGTTCTATGCTCATGGATAGGAAGAAACACTATTGTTAAAATGATCATACTGCTCCAAGCAACTTACAGATTCCACACTATTCCCATCAAATTATTCCATTCTTCACAGAATTACAAAAAAACTATTCTGAAATTCATATGGAATCAGAAAAATAGCCAAAGCAATCTTAAGAAAAAAGAACAAATCTGGAAGCATTACACTACCTGACTTACAAACTATACTAGAAAGCTAAAGCAACCAGAACAGCATGATACTGGTACAAAAACAGACACATAGACCAATGAAACAGAAGAGACAAACATCTACAGCCATCCAATCCTCAACAAAGTTGACAAAAGGAAGCAATGGGGAAAGGATTCCCTTTTCTATTTAATAAATGGTGCTGGAATAGCTGTTTAGCCATATGCAGAAGAAGGAAAATGGCCCCTGTCTGTCACCATATACCAAGATAGCTGAAGATTAAAGATTTAAATGTGAGACCTCAAACTATAAGAATCCGAGAAGAAAACATAGGAAACACCCTTGTTGACTTTGACCTTGGCGAATAATTTTTGGCTAAATCCTGAAAAACAATTACCAAAAAAAAAAAAAAAATTGGCAAATGAGACCTAATTAAACTAAAGAACCACTGCATGGCAAAAGAAACTATCTGTAGAGTAAACAGACAACCTACAGAATAGGAGGAATTATTCATAAAGTATACATCTGACAAATGTCTGATATTCAGAATGTATAAGAAATTTAAACAAATCAACAAGTAAAAACAACCCCATTACAAAATGGGCAAAGG